CTCCCTAGCTTTATCCCTCTCTTCGAGCAGCAACAGGGCCTGGAGAGTGTCAGGAAGAACAGCAGCTGCTCTGTGGAAGGTGTCTGTGTCTGGGAAAGTCACCCCTACTCTTGCCCTCAGCATGTCTTCGTTCCCAGCTCCTGAGATATGGTCACTGACTCCAATCCAAGGTTCCCATCCTGCTGGGACAAGAAGCAACACAGGAACCAGCCAAAGGTGCATGCTTCACCCTCCTATTCCCTTGACTAAGAGCTCCCCAATCAGGGCCCACAAGCCTCTCATGGGGCCTATTTGCTGTCCATCCGGTAGCCAGTCCCTGGAGATTATTTGCGGGAGCTGGGGGGGGGGGGGGGAGTAGGACCCATCCCTTTAAGGTTCTTGTGTCTTGCCCACTGCAGACTGACAAGTGTGTGGTTTTCAGGGTCAGGATGTGGAAATAGTGACATCTTGTGGCCACCTAGCAATGTGGCAAGTCTGTCATTCCTAGGGAGAGTCCCAGACCCAGCATCTTACAAGGGGAGTGGGGTCCAAGTGCGTGATGGAAATAAACCATTTACCACTGGGGGGCAGAAATCATTTCCTTCCCAAATAATATCTTCTTCCCAACCCCCTGAAATGAGGTAGCCTCGTGAGAGACCCAGCAGATAATGCCGATCTATACCCTGTCCCTCTGCTTCATGCTCAGTGCTCTGCCAAGGCACTTGTGTCCACTCTGTAGAAGTGAGGACCACACACTGCTGGGCAGTGTTCCTTGTAAGCTGCGCACTTGGACAAACACTAAGGAGAGATTCACATGCTTCCCAGTTGATGAAAAGCCGGCAGCATGTGTTTCTACTGGTAGTGCACATCTGCACATGCCTCGGTGCACATAACAAAATGTATTCCACATGTGGATGGGAAAACATTAGAGGGAACATTGATGGTAGGTCACATGAACTGCATCACTCACCTTCTTAAAACTATCAAAAAATACACCAAGACAAATTGTACAAGGTGAGACATTTATGTCATATGACAAAGGAACAGAGTCAAGTGGTTTAATCCCCAAATCTGACCCATCAGCGGGAAAGAGCTAATGCTCAGTAACTTGTTTCCTCCGTCATACCCCTGCTGGTGAGAATTGCAGCAACTGTTTTCCTGACCCTGAAGCTGTGACAGAGAGTCTACCCAGTAGGAGTGCAGAGTAATTATTTGCCCTACATCCGGAGTGGTGTAATTTCCAGTGGCAGCAATCTGACACCAAGATGGAAACGCAAGGAAGCAGAGCTGGCTTGTCCAAACTCAGCTGGCTGCAAGCCAGAGCCAACTAGAATCTGACTAAAGCAAAATGGATACAAAGTAGGAGGAAATGCACAGAATAATAGCAGTTTCTTTAGCTCACAGAGTCTGCTGCTGCTTGCTGAGCCCCACTGCATGGGTACTAGCCTAGTGCTTATCTTATGTGTCTCCAGAATGCCTACTCACATGGCTGGATGCCTTGCCTGGGTTTTTCAGGTCTCCCCATGCTCACGTTGGCCTATGGTAGCTTCCTCCCAGCACCTTTTGGGGATGACCCCCAAAATTCCCATGGTTTTGACCAAGAGCCTAGCCTCAGATTATGTCTCTTCTGCTGCTTCCCTCAGGGCCTTTATTTCTGGGCACTCAGCAACTCAGCCTAACAGGCAGCAGTTCAGACCATCCTGAATAAAGCAACACTTACCTGGCAGAGGAAATAAAGAGAAAACCAAAGGAATATGACAGAATGGGACCATGACTACACTAAGGCTACATCTAGACTACATCCCTTTTTCAATACAGGGATGTAAATTAGGCATGTCGATATTGCAAATGAAGCTGGGATTTGAAGTTCCTGTGCTTCATTTGCAGTTTAGATGGGGCATTTTTGACACAAATGCCCCGTTTTGAAAAAATGAGGAATACAAGATCTTTCGAAACTGTCTAAACTGCTGGTGTGGTTTTTTTTTTGTTTTTTGTTTTTTTTGAAAGTCCCATTTTGGAAAAAAGCGGCGGCCGCCATTATGCAAATAAAACATGGGAAATTCAAATCCTGGCTTCATTTGCACTTTTGATATGTCTAATTTACATCCCTTTATCGAAAAAGGGATGTAGTCTAGATACAGCCTAAGATTCCAACAAGCACAGCTGTTAGTCAGAACTTGCTGCAGAATATTGATCAGACAGGATGAAACACGGCCTTGGCAGAAGATCTGTATAGTGGATCACTGTGCATTGATACTTGGGGCACTGACAGAAACAGCACTCTCTTGCTCACTCTGACCCTTCTTGTAATTTGTTGAACTTTTTGTTTCTGGACCATTGTGTCACCCACCATGTGGGACATGGTCGCTGAAACACAAACCAGTGGATTTGTCAAGTTGTTACATACTGGATTATTATTGCTAGATATTAATTACAGTTTCTTGTTTCCCACATACCACGATTAGTGGGAGCCCCAGTGTACTGAGCATACTGCAGATGTATATGCAGATCTGCCCCAGTGAACTTCCAGTTGAAGCTGACAAGTGACGTATGAAACGTGAGACGAGGGCTAGAGGCAAAAAAAGACATTAACACTAGAATCTGATAAACTAAGAGCCAACTCTATTTCCCCTGTCCTTAAACTTGCTTACTGACTGATTTTGTGACAGAAGTGCATTGTAAGGAGGGGAGGGCAGTGGTTGGTGGATCAGTTCCAGGAGAGCATGTCTCCCACACTTGCAAGGGGCAGCATAGAAGAAGACTTGGAGACTGTGTGTGAAGCAGATGAATGGGTGGGTGAAGGTTGTCAGTTGTTGATGGAAGGAGTCCCTTGTCATTCACCAGGTGCTCTTCTTATTGCCTCTTGCATGTCAAATACCATTGGCCCACTTCAGAGGACTCTTGATCTGATATAATGGGGAATCTTATGAGTATCAGTGCACAAACTATCTACTTCTTTAAAAGATGCCCTTTTAAACCTTCTATCACTTTTAAACATTGTTATCTTTCAAAAAGGTACCCACCCACCACCATGGTGGGGTCTGTTTACATCCCTTCTGAGATGAGGCACCACTGAGTGAGTGACCTCCTTGTACTGTAGTAAGGTCTGTTGTATGCTAATAACATTTTTACCCATGGTTAGGCTGAATTAGTTAATCTGCATAATCCTGGAAATGAAGCTATGTTTCCCGTCACACACGCAGTACCTATCAGGGGGATTGGTGGGAACTTTGACAGCAAGGGATTGCTGTTGAAATCTTCAGATGCAGCATGGCTATTCTGCCCCCCTGGTTGGAGAATCCAAGAAACAGAGGCATGAGCGGAAACATGAGGGGCAAGAAGCAGTGCTGCTCCTTGCACATGCACCTTACCCACCCAGGAAGCTTTGCTAAACTGTGTTGGGAAGAGCAGACATATGAGCAAAGGTTTATTTTTATATCCCAATAAACAGATTCTGCTGAGCCATAGTTATTAGAGTTCTTTATCCCCACTTCCCTAATGACATTGTGTGTATATATTTCTTTTACTCCTACCAAATTGCATAATAAGGGATTCTCATGCATTCTGACTTGCAATAAAGCACTTTATTTAAAATGTATGCATTGTTCCCAACATTGTTCAGTTGTGTTAAGTTGTATGTTACTGGGTAGGTTAGTTACATTTTAAACAAAAATGGTGTTGAATGCTGCACAGTTTGGGTCCCTGTGCATAGCTGGATTGTAAGGAGCCAGACAAATTTGCCAACTTTCTTCTTTCTCTGTTGTTTGCGTTTGATAGGGATGGGCGAACCTCAAATAGCTCCAAGCCCAGATACAGCCACATGGATTAGATGCTGCTGTGAACCTTGCAGGTTGCAAATTCCAGGTGCTCACCCTCTCCCAAAGGAAGCTCCTAGCTCCCTTTCCTGTAGCATT